GGTCTCTCCCTTTTTCTCTCTCTAGGATCTTACCCTTTTCTTGGTTTATCAGCTTTGAAGCTCGAGTCAATCGGTTTATGGTAATGGGTATTGTTAAAGTTTGGATTTTGTAACATGGGTTGTGATGAGAATTGTTGTTTTTGGTGTTGTGTGTTTGGTATAGATATTTACTCTGTTTTTGGCATTTTAGCTCTGTAACTGCAAGTGCTTAGTTTAGATTTACTCTGTTTTAGGCTCTTTATTACTGAAATTGCAAGTGATTGGTATTGGATCTAGTTAGGATTCAACTGAGTGAGAAATGACAAACAGATTCAAAGTTAACATTTTGTTAAGCTTAAAGGCATTACTTGTGTCAATTGATTCTAATCAGCTCATTATTGTAAACACTTGTGACATGAGATTAGGTTGGTAAAGAAGTGATTCTGTATGAGTAGTTTGTTTAACTTGTTTCTTTTTACACAATGCGATTGACGTTAATATTTCAGCCAGAGTTTATGGTTGTTTTTTTTCTGATCAATGACGCGGTTTGTGCTTCAAATTTCTGATATGGTCCTACTACATTGTCCAGCCAGTGAGTGCAGGAAGTCTAAGGAGGCAGATTGGTCAAATGTTGATGAAGCATCATCAATCAATCGAAAGAAACAATCATGCTCTTCAGCCTGTATCTCCGGCTAGCTACGGAAGCTCTCTCGAGGTTAAGCTTAAGGACTCTATAGAATGCATCAATAGCATTTGATTGTGTGTGTATTTATGAGGTTTTGTATTCACATATGGATTACGGTTTGCAGGTCGCGACATACAACAAACCAGTAACTCCAAGTAGTTCATTGGAATTCGGAGGAAGACTATCTAGAGAACCTCATTACAATCTCAAGACATCAACCGAACTTCTTAAAGTATTGAACCGTATTTGGAGCCTCGAGGAGCAGCATGCCGCTAATATCTCTTTAATAAAAGCTCTGAAGACCGAGCTGGCTCATTCACGCATGCGAATCAAAGAGCTTCTTAGGTACCAGCAAGACGATAGGCATGAGCTAGATGGTGTGGTGAAGCAACTCGCTGAGGAGAAACTTTCCAGGAAGAATAAAGACGTTGAACGGATAAGCTCTGCAGTTCAGTCAGCGAGGAAAGAGTTAGAAGATGAGCGGAAACTTCGTAAACGTTCTGAGAGTTTGCAAAGAAAATTGGCAAGAGAGCTCTCGGAAGTGAAGTCTAAGTTGTCTAAAAGTGTCAAGGAGCTTGAGAAAGGGAATAAGTCAATGACGACGATGGAGATTCTGTGCGATGAGTTTGCGAAAGGGATCAAAAGTTACGAAGAGGAAATTCGCGGTTTAAAGCAGAAGAATCTCGATAAGGATTGGGCTAGTCAAGCTAAAGGCGATCAAATGGTTCTTCATATAGCGGAATCATGGCTTGACGAAAGGTTGCAGATGAGATTACAAGGTGAAGATACATTGAATGGTAACAATAGCTCAGTGTTAGATAAACTCGAGGTTGAGATAGAGACATTCATCCAAGCGAAGCGGAATGAAAACCCGAGGAACCTTAGGAGTTCACTTGAATCAGTCCCGTTTAACACCTTAAGTGCACCACCACAGGATGTAGAATGCGAGGAAGACTCTGCGGGAAGCGATTCAAACTGCTTCGAGCTCAAGAGACCTACAGAGACTCATGGAGACGAAACTGAGAAACCAAAACAACTGAACAAAGACGGTTTTCGCGATGAAAAGCCGAAAGGAAAGATCGGAAGCCCGTCGAGTTTTGAAGTAAAGTTTCACGATCAAATGGCGTTGGCAATGTCGAATAACGGAATGAAGAAAACCCGAGGCATCGAAGAAGATGCAGAGCCTGGGATAAGCAACAGTAACAAACCAGATAATGAAATCGATGAGTGTGTTACTAGTACGAACAAGAATGATGTGATGGGGGAAATGATTCGGACACACAGAAGATTATTGTCTGAAACTCGTGAAACTGATCAAGCTTCTTGTAGTTACCCATCTTCTCGAAGACAAGCGAGTCCAATTCGACAATGGACTTCAAGAACCATCTCACCTGATCTTCTAGGCTCGTCTGAGAAAGCTGCGATAGCTCAAGGAGGAGTAAAGGATAATACTTTGAAAACTAAGCTCGCAAAGAGTACAAGGTCACGTCTTCGATTATTCAAAAGCTGATTTGGTTCGGAAAGGGTCGGATACATCACTCACACAGATTCTTGAGTTTCATATTATTCAGTTGTCTCTTTGTAAATCGGATGCATATGCAGATTTTGTATATCGATTGCGTTCTACGAATTTTGGATTATTGAATTTTGAGACATTGTAAACATAGTAAGCAAAGTCAATCAAACGATTTTTCATTCCCTGGTTTTACCTGTTGCAGAGAGCGAGATTGAGACGGCGAAGTTGTCTTGAGGCCCAAAGAAGAGCAATGATGTGTATTGGGCCTACTAGGGTTCAAGTTGTTAACTATGAGCCATAGGGTAATAAAGAATTTGTTCTTTGCGGTCTCTCTTGATAAAAACAGAGAGATTAATAACTCTTACACTCTACTCAACGTGTTCGTTGTGAAGATTGTTATTGGTATGACTTGAATGTGATCACTCGTTGCTTGCGAAAGTATGAAAGTTTTGTTGTTCGATCAACAAATTAGAAGCCGAGGGGATTAACCAAGAAAACAAAAAAATCAGGGCAATGCTTATTGGTTGGTTTTCTCTCCATTTCCTAGGCTGTTGGAGCTTCGATATCTTTGTCCTTTTTCTACTGGATTTGTTTTCAGGGCAATTGTAACGCCTCCGATCATTTATAGACCGGAAACGCTACTGACGAACACTTAGATGTCCGATCAGAGGTTCCCGGAACATATCCAAATTCTCTAAACAAGACTTCTAAGCGTCCTTCCCCATTAGATACATCTTAAGGCTTGCCAACCCGAGACATACACAATGGTTAGTTCGTCCGAACAAAAACTAGTATCACATGAAACCCGAATTTATGTAAACTCAAATTTTTATATATAACTATACATACGTGATACAAACATATACAATCGTGAGTCTAACACTCCAAACGTTCATATACATAATAAACATTATTCATTTTACAAAAAAGCAAAGAAATCTACTACTGGATTTTTTAACGTTCATTTGGCCATCGGTGGTCTACCCGCTAATGGTTACCTGCAACATAAGTAGAGTCGTGAGCACTAGTTGCTCAGTGAGTTTGGGCTCCCCTAACATTCAATAATCAATTCCCAACCAAACCCAAAATAACAATCAACACGCAAGCATGCAAATCTAACGAAAACATGCGATAAGTTATGCAATGTCACTATAATTTCAATATGGCCTTTCACGTAGACTATTTCCCTTCACGTCAAATCACAAGGTATCATTCAGCCCAAAGCCACAAAGGCTAAGGACTTAAGATCTTTCACCGTTCCAATGGCCTTATGTGTATAAAGATCCGCACCGGAAATTCTGCATCGTCATGCAGTACACGGCCAAATGGTGCAATCCCGTCTCTCCCTGTCTTCATGTACTTAAACTAATACTCAACGTATTAGCTAAGTCATGGCTTCAAGGGAACGTCTTACCATGATTATCATAATTTATAAGCTTTACGAACAATTTAAGTTATAAGAAAACTTATAAATATGCATCAACAATCCAACTTAGTATTTTCATATGTTAAAGCTTTTAAGCATTACTTAATTAAACACGCAACCAACATCACCGAGACTCACCTTTGACTTAGTGAAAGGTCGCGGTCTTGCCCAAAGTTTCCTATTCTCAGTTCGCTTTAGACTCGGACTAGCATACTAAACTGGATCAGAACGGATCAAGGTTGCTCGTAGAAATTCAAGTTCCTTTGAAACCTAACAGAAACTGAACCCTAAGTTTCCAACATGGTTTCGGTCAATTGATCAAGAAACTAAGATTAGTATCGAGATCAAAACGACAAAACTATTCAGATAGGAACGATTTTGGACTAGGAACACTTACCCTAAGTTTTCCTAAACTGCTCGACAAGGCTCGCGGCAAAACTACTTTATGGTTCACGGTGGACTAGAAAATGTACTGCTCTGTTCGGACGGACCGATCGGATGGGACGATCACGAACTAGGCTACCGTTTGCAATAAAAAATTGTGATGAAAAAAAGTTATGTTCGGACAAGGAAGAGATTTTTTTGCGTGTGTCCTGCAAACTGGGTCGAGCCGGCCTATATATAGGCACGGGTAAGCAGGTGAAGCGGCTGGACAGCTCGCGCCAGCAAGCCCATTATTCACCCGTGGATAATGTCCTAGGCTCGACACGAGGTGGTGATGATGCATAAGACCAGGCGTGAGTCCGACACACGCCATCGTGTGGTCAACACACGCGGGCATAACTCGGACACAAGCCTACCACGGTCTACCCACGACCGGAGTAAGCATCCTGCTCTGTCACCAAACAGCCACAACTGCTTAGTCACGCGCAAGCAAGTAGAGCAGCTTAGTCACCGAGGTACTTACTTAGGTTTTTGCCTAAAACATATCTTACTAATCCGAATGATCGGGCCAATCAATGAGCCTTTGCCTTGGCTTCTACTTAGCCACAATGCGGGTCATTATATCAATGCTTTTTGGTTGGTGTTTTTTTGCTTCTCAACTTGACGATTAGGCTTGATGAAATGGTTGTTGTTCTTTGGTCAATCTGCCTGAGGACAAAGCATATATCTTTTTGGAGAACAGTCATTTAGTGACGTCTCGGGTGTGAGGTCACGTCTTAGTTGATCTATTTTATGTTTACTGGTTTTTGTGGTGAAGTAACGTTTGACATGGTATTGCTACCGCTGGTGGCTATCTTACCGTCTCCTTGTTTGCATCGTCATCTCGACCAACGGATGTGGGAAAAACAACAATATCGTCATCATTTGTCTAATTCCATTAGCTTTTGTGTTTATGTCAAGGAGATGGATTAATTAAACTGTTTTTCTTGAATTATGTTTCCATTTTTTGTCTTTTTTTTGCCATATAACCATTGTTTTATAATTTGATTTGTAAACCTAAAATGTTTATTTTTAATGAAATATTCACATCCTTCGAAAAAAATATAAGGAAATCACAGTTTAGGGGTGATGTGTCTCTGACTTAAGGGGAAGCGTCACCCGATCTGATGGTATGAAGTACTGTAATTTATGTGTTGGTTATGTAAAAAAGATATTGATTTATTACTGAGAAACAAACAAAATTGTTTCAGAAAAATGGTGAACAAAAGTATATAAAACCGTGACATTATACATAGATTAATTTGGGCCGTTGGTAAACCACGCAAAATTTTATGTTGTTTTTTACGTTTCCCGTTTATCTTCTTCTCACACATGATTAAATTGCATTGTTCTAAAGGAAGCTTGTCTCAAGTCAATTTTCCCTTGAAATCATATATAGATATCTGAAAGTGACGGATTCATTTAAACACAATCGTTTGGAATTGACAAGATCCATTGAAGTGGACTTAATGGAGTTTAGTGCTTTTGTAGTTGTTGAAGGGTTGACTATGTTGGTGGTCAGCATTTTACAAATCTGCCCCTAATCTTTGGAGCATTTCTATTTTATTTCCATGGTTAAAATTTAATTTTTATGAAGTGGGTTGATTGTTCAAAGATCTTGTCAAGATTATGATAAGTTGGGGGACCATTATGCTTGTAGTTGGTTACAAACAAATAGAACAAAAATTGCGCACCGAATCCTAAATGTTGGACATTACCAATGCACTTTGATCTGGTGCTTAATTACTTAAGATATTTTGCTAGTTTTTAAATTTCTTACAAAGAAAGTCTATATCTTTATAATAATTGGAAACCCGTTATGTTATTGTTGAAATCCCGTTCATTAAACTTTGAAATTTCATCAGGCAAGAATCGAATCACTCTTCTCAAATATGACAAAATACTAGGTGGCCAAATTGGGTACTTTAACATTTAGACATTTCCTCATTTAATGTCGGGACAATACAAATTAAAAATATCACTTTAACAAAAAATATATTTAAATGAATTGCACTATAATATACAAGCATTTGTTAGTAGGATTGGATAAAATGCCCGATGTAACGAGTAAATCAGTATTTAGATTATGGTACTTAGTTGAAAATTATGAAAAATTGAATATGGAAAACATATTCGAGTTACACCGGACCAAAAGATAGTATATATAATATATAACAACCTAGTGAAAGTAGTATAAAACCGTTGTTTTGTAAAATGCAAAAGATAAAATGTATGTCTATGTTCTATCTCCTTCAAGTGAGATCACAAGTTTAATTTTAAATAGATCACAAATCACAATTAGAGTCATATAAAGGTATAGTTCTATATGAATTTTCGTCACTCTGAAAATAATGAATGTCACTGATGGTACTTTCAATTAATAATCTGTATTGGTTAAGTAATAACTGAGAGAGAAAGAAGTTAAGTGGCACACATAATTTGTGAATACATATGTTATGTAGAATAGAAACTTAGTGCCAATTATCTTAGAATAATTAAAAGAAAGAAAATACACTTAAAAGATTTGTTAAGTGTACTCAACTAAGCAATTAACAATTTCACATCCTCAGGTGTTGCTTTTTCATTACACTTTATTATATTTTATCACAGAGATTTTGTGAAGTCACATCGTCTCGCACATATAAGTGTGTTTGATTAC